GGCTTTGAACCACAATCCTCAGATCTCAGCCTCCTGAGTACCTAGGATTACAGGTGTGAGCCACCGGCACCTGGCTAGGGAATAGCACTTTTTGAATGGGAGGCATCTCATAAGTCTTCTTGACTCTGAGCTGACTTTACATTGATCAATGGAATTCTCTTCAATGTACTGTTGCCTGACACATTTGCTTAACATGGTGCCAGTACTGACACTTTCTGGCCACATTTCTTTAAGAATTAAGTCTGAGAGGCCCTGTGGGATATTAACAGGTGTCCTAGAACTTACACCCAGTTTGGGTTTGCTCTTCATCACAATCTTTTCCCCTGGGTGGGCAGTTAGGTTGAGGAGAAGAATACTATGGTTGTTTCTCCAGAATGGTGAGGGAGAAGGGTCTTTGGTATTGAGTGACCAAATCCTGCAGAACTGAGCATATACACTTATCTTTCATATTACTGGTGGGAGAGAGGCAGTGTTCAGTTGAGTTACCGCATGGGATATCATTTCTGAGTGAGCCCCTGTCTAGTGGAACCCCAAAACACTATGTCAAAAAAGGCAACCACACACACACAAGCTGAAAGAAATTGAAAATACAGCTTTTATTTCAATGGCTAACATAAAAGATAAACTTTATTCCAAATCTTTCTTGGGAGAGTTTCCATGATTCTGGACTGGCATCAACATGTAAGACACATGGTGTTTTGGTAAAGGCCAACTCCACCCTGGGGCTGTTCTGGTCAGCATCCACAGCCACTTGGTCAGATCCACATCTCCTTTATGTCTCCCCAGTTGTCTGCCTACTAAGAAACCTAGCATGTTGGTGGAACCTAGGCTGGGTTTTAAGTATTCATCTGCCTTCCTTCTGGGAGTCAGCTTTGGTCTTCTGGGGTTGACTGCAGATTGTTCTTTGTCCATGACTGGTAATCAGGGAGGCAACAGAACCAAGCAAGCCTAAAAAAGATGAAGAAATCGGGTGAACCAAGTAGACCAAGGACCCTCTGCCTCGTAGTCCTCTCCCTGCTGCCCTCCCCCTCCACAATTGGTATCAGCAGTACAGTATCTCTCCCACAAACACTTAGCCATGTTACCAGTGGTCAACTGTGGTCTGAAAATATATTAAAGGAACACTTGAAAAATGAACAGTTACTAAGTTTTTAAAGTATGTACCCTTCAGAAGTAGCATGCTGAAATCTTACTCCATTTCACTCTGTCCTGCCTGGGAGCCACATGAATTGTTTGTCCAGCATATCCGCATGCATATTACATGTGACCTGTCTGATAGTTGACAGCTTGTGTTCAAGTGAGCCTTATTTTATTTTACAATGATTCCAAAGCATAACAGCAGTAGTGGAAAAGAAAAAGCAAGGCCTGAAACATGGGAAAAAATAGATTAACTCTGCTATTTTGTAGCCATGCTTCAGGCTATATTGGAAAAAGTACAGAATAGACGGGTCCTAGAAAATATCACCCTTTAGTTCACAAGAGCTCAATAGCTATGGGCATATGATCATATAACATGATGCTTATTGAAATGACCTCCAAGAAATAGAGACAAGAGGAAAATGGCATCCTCCACGGTAGGCAGTCCTGCAGCTGGAGCTACAGAAGGAGCTACAGAAAAAAAAATTCAAAATCAGAAGCCAGATACAGAACAGAGATGAATCAGAACTCCTTACTGTTCCTGATGGTTGGAAGGAACCCCCTTTTTCTAAAGAAGACAACCCCAGAGGACTTTTGGAGGAAAGCAGTTTTGGAACTTTGTTTCCAAAATATAAAGAGGCTTACTTGAAAGAGTGTTGGCCTTTGGTGCAGAAAGTCATGAATGAACATGGATGCATATTTTGTACATTTCTTTGAGATTTTGCTCTTACTTATGGCATTACTTTTAACATGTTAATGCTACCCTGGACCTGACTGAAGGCAGTATGACTGTGTGTACTACAAAGAAGACTTTTGATCCATACATTATTGTTAGAGCCAGAAACCTAATAAAACTATTAGCAAGGAGCGTTTCATTTGAACAGGCAGTATGAATTCTTCAGGATGATGTTGCATATGATATTATTAAAATAGGTTCTTCAGTAAGAAATAGAGCATTGTAAAAAGAAGACAATGGCTTATTGGTGCCATGGGATCTACATTGAAGGCATTGGAGCTCCTAACAAACTGTTACATCATGGTTCAAGGAAATACAGTTTCAGCCATCAGACCTTTCAGTGGCTTAAAGGAGGTTCAAAAAGTAGTCCTAGATGCCATGAAGAATATTCATCCAGTTTATAACAATAAACAATAAACAATAAATAAATGAGAATTAGAAAGATCACAAAATTGGAAGAGATTTTTGCCACAGCTCAAACACAAAAATGTGAACAAACGCAAGGAACCAAAGAAGAAAAGTGTTAAAAAGAAGTATACACCATTCCCACCACCCCAGCCAGAAAGCCAGATTGATAAAGAACTGGTTAGTAGTGATTACTTTTTGAAGGCAAATCAGAATAAACGACAAAATGGAAGCAGTAAAGGCTAAACTAACAGAAGTTCTTAGTAAGAGACAAGAGGAAAGAAACAAAGCATTTATTCCACCTAAAGAAAACCCAGTTGTGAAACCAAAGGAAGCTTCTACTGAAACTAAAATTGACATGGTAAGCATCAAAGAAAAGGTTAAGAAAGCAAAGATGAAGAAGCTGGCAGCTCTTACAGCTGAGGAAGTTAAGCTTAAGATGGAAGCAGATGGAAAGAAAAAGAAGTAAAATAATACAGAAATCTGAACTAGAAGCCAGGCACCAGTGGCTCATGCCTGTAATCAATTCTAGCTCCTCCAGAGGCTGCAATCTGAAGATCGCAGTTTGAAGTCAGCCTGGACAGAAAAGTCTGTGAGACTCTTACCTCCAATTAACCACCAAGAAGCAAAAAGTGGAGCTGTGGCTCAAGTGGTAGAACTCTAGCCTTGAGCACAAAGAGGCTCAGGGACAGTGCCCAGGCCCTGAGTTCAAGCCCCAGGACCAGCAAAAAAGAAAAGAAAAGAAATATACTCCTGACTTACATAGCTATAACCCCTCTGTATATCACCTTTACAATAAAACTTTTTAAATATTTTTAATTTAATATCTTTTATTGTAAAGATACTGTAGAGAGGGGTTACAGTTACATGAGCAAGGTTATGAGTCTATTTTCTATCAAGCATTGTTACACCCTCCTTTATTTTTCCCCTACCATCCCTTTCCTTCCCATATCCCTAACTTCACCCCTCCCCGAAAAGTTGTAGATTGTTTTCAACATAATGTCTTGTATATCTCCTTGTTACAATGGGTCATCCTGTATCCTTATTTCAGAATTTTGTTATTTCCCTTCCCCTCCCCAAATTAGAAAAATGTATATACAAGATGCAGGACACCAGAATCAAATACAGTGAAAACAGGGGTTATACCATGGGGGAAGAACATACAAAGAAATAAAGAAAAAAATCACATAGTACATTACAATAAAACTGTTTTTTAAAAAATATCACCCTTTATCTAAGGTAGAGGCAGAGATCAGTGACAACATACTACTGTAATCATACGGATTGCTATGTCAGTATCATCACATTTGTAACACTAATATTATCATTTCTTTCATTTTGTCAATCTTGACAAAATGAGTGACAGACATGAGTCTGTATCTGGAATTTGTTTTGCTCTGCCTAATGCATTTGATTGTGCTGGTCTTGGGCCCTGAAGTTAGGGCCTGGGCACTGTCCCTGTGCTGCTTTTGCTCAATGCTAGCACTCTACCACTTGGGCCACAGCTCCACTCCTGGCTTTTTTGATAGTTTAGCGGAACTAAGTCTCACAGACTTTGCTGTCCAAGCTGGCTTTGAACTGTGATCCTTAGATCTCAGCCTCCTGAGTAGCTAGGATGAAAAGTGTGAGCCACCAGCAGTGCCAGGCCTCCAAATGCATTTTCAATTCAATCTATCGGGTAAGTTTTCATATCTTGTAGGTCAAGTTACCAAGGCTATCCCCCTATACATCTTCTCTTCCTTTTAATTGCTAATCTGCTCATGTTTTTTTCATGACAAAGTCCTATTGACATTCATAAATGAGATTACACTGAATTCATACATTGAATCAAATTTGGGGCAAGAATTGATGAAATATTTTACTACATAGAAAATAATGATACTTTAGTATCAAATGGGAAATAAAAGTATATCATAATATTTCCTATCCTTTAAAAAAAATCATTCACATAAGTTTGGTGATCACTTTGAACTAGAAATATTTCTGTGTGTGTGTGTGTGTGTGTGTGTGTGTGTGTGTGTGTGTGTGTGTGTGTGTGTGTGTGTCAGTTCTGGGGCTTGAAACCAAGATTTTTGCTCAAGGCTGGATCTCTACCACTTGAGCCACCGCTTCATTTCCAGCTTCTTGATGATTAATTGGAGATTAATGGACTTTCCTAACTGGGCTGGATTCTATCTACAATCCTCAGCCTCTCCCTCATGGGCACTTAGGATTACAGGCGTGATCCACCAGTGCCTGGCTTTCCTTTTTTTAAAAAGTAAACACAGCATCATTGTCTTTCTATGGTTCTGTGTTAAGTAGGAGAAACATCTGGATTACTGAGCCTCAAAAGGGAGAGAATGTTCTGGCCTAGGTGCTGTTCACAGGTTTCTGTGCCTCAATTCCCTCACTTGATATGTGACATTGGCCACTGGTGCAAGCTACATCTCTTTATAATGACTATTTTAGTTCCAGCAGAACAAGCAGTCAAAATTATAAAGCCATGTTTAACCACTGACCCCTAGCTACCTGCACACATTATCCATGTGAGTTACCCTTTAATACTGTCAGTAACTTCCTCTCAATAAGAGACATGGAAGGTACTAGAGCTGGAAAAGTATTCCTGCTCACAAGCCAAAGTTTCTGCAGTGAAACATCCCAGGATACAAACTGTGCATTATAAGTATAGTAACTGCCCAATCATGACCAAGGCTAACACAGAGACTAAGAATATTGAATCCTACCTGGTACTGAAGGCTCTTAAAGCATTCACTAGGTGATGAAATCTTGAGGTCAAAATCTCTGATCTAGGCTCTGGCACCTGTGGAAAGTAAATACTGTTAGGACATTTTTCTAACTCCTACCACCAAAGTGAACGTGGAGTAAGTTTGTATAAGCTGAAGTCAGCATAGCTGAGTGCCTCGAGAACAGATATAGAGATGGTACAGAGACAGGTGACACCTACTCCTCTCCGACCACTTTCCTCTCGCGGCACTCAGGTTTGAATTGGAAGTAACTTAAGTGGTGGTAGTTGGAATTTAGATCTTTCCATTGTGTGTGGAACGAAGATTCTGAGAGTTACTATGGGTCACTAGGACTCTTTCAACCAATCAGGTCCTGGGGCTTAGAGGAAACACATGGGATGAGAAGAAAGGACATTTTTCTTTCTCCCTATTATCTTTCCCAGACCAATGCTGCTGCAACTTTAGATACATGGCTTCTTAATGGTCTGAGGTTATGATAAAACATCTGGATAAATGAATATAATGTTTCATCTTTGCTTACCACTAACAAACTAATTGAACTTATGAACACCAACTCTGCTGTACAATGGCACGGCAGAGATTGTCATTTGTCCAAATTAGTAAAAAAAAAAAAAAAAAGTAATTGGACCAGGCAATTGGCTGCTGTCTAATCCTAGCTACTCAGGAGGCTGAGCTCTGAAGATCATGGTTCAATGCCAGCCCAGGCAACAAAGTCCATGAGACTCCAAAAGCTAGATGGAGAGCTGTAGCTCAAATGGTAAAGTGCTAGCCTTGAGCAAAAAGGCTCAGGGACAGTGCCAAGGCTGTGAGTTCAAGCCTTGGGACCAGCAACCACACACACACACACACACACACACACACAGAGTCATTGGCTAAAGAAGTAAATAGGAACATAAACTCAGGGGCAAGTGTCTGATTTCTAATCCCAGCTCTGCGTGAATTGGGGCAAGTTCCTAAACTGCTGTATACATCCCCTTTTGTAAACTGTAAGCCGCAGCACTTTTACTTTGTGACATAAATTAGATAATATTAAAGTAGTCAGAAACAGTGGCTGGTTTGCAAAGTACTCGTTCACATTTATCTCCGTCAGCCACATGCTGGTTTGAGCTGTTCCTATTAGATCTGTTCATTTCCTTCCAAGTTTGCCCCATGGTGAGCTTATTTCCTCCCCACTTTCCCCCCACTTCCAAAGAAGAGTTCGTGAGATAAGGCCAATCTCTTGGTACTCACAAGATCAGAAGAGGAAGGGCTCTTCGGTCTCAAGCTGATCTCTGTCCCACGCAGGTCTGTGGCTCTGCAGTTCCTTTTGTGTCTCTCTTAAATTCTCCCAGCATCTGCGGTTAAGAACATCATCTGGGTTAATGCATCATATACTGTACTTGCAGAGAGCTAAGGAGGGAAAAAATGAGCCTACCGGCAGTGAGTGAACTCAGTACCAGTTCCCTCCCGAGACTGGGATCCTGAGGTCTGCCTCTGAGCCCAGTGGAGCCCAGTCTCACATCTCAGCCCAAAGCACTGCTGCTGGTGATATTGATGGAGCTGGGATGAGTCATTGCCCTGTGTGACACACAGGATCATGAGATCCTATAGCCTACAGACACACTGACCTTTAGCCTCTGACTACAATATTGCCAGTGGCAGGGAGGGGTGTGTCCTCAGGCAAGAAACTGCATTTTTATGAATGCAGCAAGAAGCATTTATGAAAAATTGTCCAAACTGGAGCAAGATTGAGCACATTAGCAGCAATGTTTTGTATTTTAAAGGGTAATTAGAGAGCACATTTAATTGGTGCAACATTTGTCACTAATTTGTAGAAATCCAAATATTGTGAGACTATTCCTTTGCTTTGGAAATCAATTTGTTAGCAGGCCAAACACTTTGTGCTTTACCTGGCCTGGGGTACAAATGTAATTACTAACAGGAGGTAAATGTGTGTTCAAATTCTATTGCTGGTGTTTATAAAGTTGTACTTAGGCTTGTGGTGCTGACTTAACTGAAGCCTCATTTTCTCATCTGGAAAGTAGGTCATAATTACCCCTGTCATACAGCTTAGGGGACAATGATGGAAAGGGGTGACATTGATCAAGATACATTGTACTAATAAACTGATATGTTGAATTGAAACCTCTTCATAAAACTACTTAAAAATAATAAATCTATTTTTTGGGGTATTGGTCCTGGGGCTTGAATTCAGGGCCTGGGCACTGTCCCTGAGATTTTGAGCTCAAGGCTAGCACTCTACCACTTGAGCCACAGCTCTCCTTCTGACTTTTTGATGTTTAATGAGAGATAAGAGTCTCATGGACTTTCCTACCCAGGCTGGCTTCAAACCACAATTCTCAGACCTCAGCTTCCTGAGAAGCCAGTTTTTATAGACATGAGCCACAGGCACCAGGCTTGATAAAAATATTTTTTAATAAAAATGTTTAAAAAGAAAAAAGGATGTTTGTCACTGGCCATCTGATTCTATTGTGGCTCTTTGATGATAAGTTTCTGTCTCCATTTTGAGAAGCTTGCCCAGAAAGCCTCATGTTACCACCCGCTTCCTTGTATAGCAGCATCAGTCTACAGATGCAAGTCAGGATCCTTGCAGGAAAGGATCCAGTGTACCTCTACAGGGTTGCAGATGGTACTAAGATCAAGGACACATTGACTAGTCAATGCCTATAGTCATCGATCACTGGTATCTTTTTTTTTAAGGTAATACTGGGGTTAAACTCATATCCTTAAACTTGCCATCCAGATGCTCTTTTCTTGAGCCCTTCATATTTCCTCACTGATCTAATTGCCTATAGAAGAGACATACAGGGAATTGTTTCTCTTTTAAAGATCTTGTTCTTTATGTTACATTGCTCTGCACTTGATGCATTTTACCAAACTTTGCTTGAACTAGCTAGCCTAATGGAAATCTCAGCCATGAGTTGTTAGGATTCAAAAATATGGGTTTGGGGTTGTAAAATGACTCTGGATCATGTGTGTCATTCCAAGCATACATATGTTTCTCAACCACTATGTGTCTCCATCACAGCATAAAGTGTGACTGTCACTAGGCTCAGAAAAACAACTCTCCACATTACCACTGGCTGTGTCTCCATCAGGCACTGATCCACATTCTATACATCTCACTGGAAAGAATAATGCCCTGTGCAATGCATGTGTATAGCTAGTAGTCTTCCAAAGAGCAGTTATCACATAATATGTGCACTTTACATTTGTAAAAGCAAAGGCCTTACCAGGACCCTTTAAATGTTGTTGCAGCTGGACGTTTGGTGGCCCACGCCTATAATCTGAGCTAGTCAGGAGGCTGAGATCTGAGGATCACGGGTTGAAGCCGAAGTCTGTGAGATTCTTACCTCCAATTAACCACTAAAAAGACAGAAGTAGAGCTGTGGCTCAAGTGGTAGAGCTCTGGCCTTGAGCCACAAAGACTCAGGGAGCTGGGCACTGGTGGCTCACACTTGTAATCCTAGCTACTCAGGAGGCTGAGATCTAAGGGTCATCAGTTGAAGCCAACCCAGTGAGGAAAGTCTATGAGACTCTTATCTCTAATTAAGCATCCAAAAAAACAGAAGTGGAGCTATAGCTCAAGTGGTAGAGCACTAGCCTTGATGAAAAGAATCTCAGGAATAGCACCCAGGCTGAGTTCAAGCTCCAGGACTGGGACAAAAAACAACAACAACAAAGACTGTGCCCAAGTCCTAATATGGAGCCTCAGGACCAAACACTTAAAATAATGTTGCTGTAGCAGCTGCCCATGATTCTCCTGATTCTCAAGCTTATAGAGAGAACAAGCATTTGGGACACTGTTAGGGCACAATTTAAGCCTTTATCACTTATATTCAGCTTGCTACCATTACTTAACATTTTTAAATTTTTTTATTGTTATTATAAAGTTGATGAACAGAAGAGTAACAGTTACAGAAGTCACATAAAGAGTATATTTCTTTTTGAACAATGACACCCCTTCCTTTGCTTTCTCCCAGTTTTTCTCTTCCATCCTCACCCACAAGTGGCATAGTTCATTTTCAACTTAGTGTCTAGTGAGTAGCACTGCTGTATTTTTTTTCCTTTGTCCCTCCATTTCTGTATCCCTCCTTGCCCTCCCAAAGACAGATAAACAAGACGAAAAGGAAACAAAAACAACATCAAAGAAAAAAATCTCTTGTTCCCATTTCCTGGAGCACATTTTGATAAATATTATTTTATATGATCAGAGGCACATAGGCATTAAGCTTTTGTGTTCCTCTCCGAAGAGTATCCTTTTTGGTCACACTTGTGAATGCTTAGACTTGTCCATAAGTTTTCATGTTCTGGTGTATTTTAGCATTTAAATTTTTTTGCCAAACAATGCAATCATACATGGCCTATTGTGTATATCTTAGCTTTATAAGAGGGTAATTTTCTTTGCCTTCTGTCTCTTGCCAGATGCCACAGTGATGAAGAACCCTTTTGGCTTATGCAGAATGCTCTTAGGATTAAGGCATCAGAGACACTTACTGGCAAACACTTGGAAGAAGTCTGAATGGTAAGTAAGTAAAGCATGGCTCAGCTTCATAGTGGAAATATAGCCATCACAGTTCTTTACTCTTCCTGAGTTCCTTGGGGCATGGAACATCTTCTCAGCACGCAGGTGGACCAGCGTCTCAGGTCATACAGCAGACAAGTCTCCGCTTCCACCAGAGACAAAAAGAGAGACCTATGGTCCTCCACTACGCGCTGTCCACACTCAACATCTTGGGATGGGAACCTAGTTGGGAAAAGATGGCTGAGAAACCACATCCACACAGTGCAATGCCAATTACAACCAGAAGGTCACTCTTAAAGAAATCGTCCGAACTTTTTCAAATTTCCTTGGGACTCTGATCTCAGATGTTATTCTCACTAGAGTAGTGGGGATGAAGTACTGTCAGTGTTAGAGGCTAGAGAGAAACATATATGCTGCAGAAGACTAGAGAAGAATCAGGGTTGGACCCAGGCTTAAGCACTTTTGAGAATAGTTGTCTCACACAAGGGAGCCATGACTGTGAGAGGGGTGAGGACTAAGGTTCAAGCAGTTTCCTGTAGGTGCTGTTTCCATCCAAGCTACCACGCAGGCAGCAAATGAAAGGGACAGTGCAACTGCTCTCTTCTGCCACCTAGTGGTAAATGACATATGGCCTGAGTTCCCTGTCTTTTTCTCCCCCCAAACTCCTACATTAACAACCTCCAGACACTCTGAAAGAACCCTGTTAATCAGGGTTGCCAAAACCTTTCGGGAACTGCTGTGGGTTCTCTTTCCTTTCAGGAAGAGAGGGAATAGCTAGACGGTAAGCATTCTCAGCCTAGCTTGTGGAGGTGAGGGTTCTCCTATGCCTGAAAGTAAGCCATCTGTTTTCACCGTCAGCTTAAAAGCTATGTACCTGTCAAAACAAATTGTCCTTTAAGTCTTGCCAGATGATTCTCATTTGTAATCCTAGTACTTGACAGGCTGTGATCAAAAGAACCATAATTCTAGGATAGGCAAGGGCAAAAAAGTTTGTGAAAACTGAAATTCACCCACTTTAAAAAAAAAAAAAAAGAAGAAGAAAAGAGGGGCTGGGAAGGTGGCTCAGTGATAGAGCGCTTGCCTTGCATGCATGAGGCCCTTGGTTCGATTCCTCAGTACCACATAAGCAAGAAGAAAAAAGCGGGAAGTGGCGCTGTGGCTCAAGTGGTAGAGCGCTAGCCTTGAGCTGAAGAGCTGAGGGACAGCGCCCAGGCCCAGAATTCAGGCCCCACGACCGGACCGCCCCCCCCAAAAAAAAAAGAAAGAAAGAAAAGAAAAGAAAAGAAAAAAGTGTCTCAGTGGCACTTTCACCAGAGTGAAACACCAAGCATAAGTAAGAATGCCAAGTTCAGGAAAAAAAAGGGGGACGTTATTCAAAAAACAATGAAAGTAAAAAAAATGGCTGGAGGTATGACTCAAGAAACAGCTAATAGGTCTTGATTCAAACTCTCGATTTTGCCACAAATACAAACCCAGAAAATTGGTCCCTACAACTTTCACAAAGATAAGGGTGAGAACAAAAACGTCAACTGTGTTTAAGGAGCCCGGTAGTCAACTTGCTGTCTGTCACTGGTGCTGCATGAGCACCAGAAACTAAGGATGTCAACCCAGCTGATTACCCTCTAGAAGTTCTCCCCGCACCTCACACCATTGCTTTCCATGACCCAACCAATTTGACTGCACGAAAATAAAAAATGAACACAAAAAGAAACAGACAAAACTTCCTTTTTTTCATTTTAAGGCAGTATAATTAAAAATGGATAGAAAAAGGTCAGGATGGTTCAACCTTTTGGGAAAAACAGAGGGCGGGGGCGGGGGGAGGGAAAAGTGAGAAGTGCCATTGGAATCACAGCAAAATCACAAACAAGAACATTACTTCCAATTGATAGAGGTGACCAAAGTTACACATAAGGCACATCTCAAAACCCAAACTGCTATTTTGATCAACAGCAAAGGTAGGCAATGCAGTAAGCTAGAATTTACAGTAAGTTACACAAGGACAGGGCCCGCATGTCAATACATCACGACAAATGATCACAGTATTTATGTGGCAGGTGCTGTGTGCTGCTCTTCATACTACTTATGAATGGGCTTTATTTCCTTGAAATGGTCCGCATGTCAAAAGGGAACCACGTTTGAGTCTCAAATGACACAGAGGCTCACAGAAGCCAGTAATTGTGCTGTGTGCTGTGGCAGGAGTCAAGCAAAGTGCTTGTCACCATGGTCCATGACTGAAGGTCCCACTGCTCAAACAAGGAGCCCGAAGGACTGCAACAAGAGGCATTTCTTTCACAGGTTAGACCTTTATGCGTGCAAACACTGTGTATCTGCAGAACAAATGGTTATTGGGATTGAGACGCCACCTCTAAGAGGAACACCACAGTTTGTATGCTTCATTACAACTACATTGGGTTTAGATTGGGGCAAAAACAGTTTCATGGCAACAGTTAAATAAGATCTGCCCAATGCCAGTAAATCAAATCTAGGACAATGGCAAGCGTAGGGGGAATACTCTAGAATTTTTATGTCTTGGAAGGTGAGTTTTCAAAACAATGAAATGTAAAAGGCCTCTGTGCACTGAGCTCAAAGAAAGCTGTTCTTCCAAGACAGCCCATGGCAGGGGCTTAGGAGCTACTGGCAGGTCCTGCAGCACCTGCTTCCTGCCCTGTAGCGGGGAGTCCCTTTCTAAGGTGTGCAGCAAGGTGCAAGATGATGTTCTCTTTGTTGAGGAAACTTTTAAGACAAAGGTTACACTTGTACAGTACTTCCCCTGCGTGCGTTTTTATATGAGACCGCAGGCTGGACCTGTGCCTGTAGCTTTTCTTACAATATTCACAGGTAAATGGACGCTCAGTAGTGTGTGTAACCTGGTGCTGGCTAAGTGTTGCCCGCCGAAGAAACTTTTTCCCACAGGTGGGGCACTCGTGTGACTTTTCCCCTGTATGAGTTTTCCTGTGTTCCAATAGACTTGACCTATGCAGGAACCTTTTGCTACAGTACTGGCACTGGAAGGGCTTCATCTCAATGTGCATCGCCTGGTGTGTGGTAAGTTGAATGTGCTGAGTGAATGTCTCCTCACACTTGGGACACTGATAGTGCCTCGCCTTCACACCAGTGACCTCCTGCTCATCTAGGTCTGGGCTATGAAAGAACCCTTCCTCACACAGGGTACACTTGTGCACGAGCTCTTCTGCACGAATCACTTCGGGACTACCAGGTTGCTTATGAGCATACACAGAACACTTCCCACACTGGGCACAGTGGTGGGCTTTCCTTATGGGAGTCTTCTGCGTGCTATCTCCCGGGTTCACAGGCCTCTCCTGCTGGGAGTTCTCTTCTAGGCAGGACCTCGGGGTGTGCAAAGGTATTTCTAAAACATCCAGTAGCTCATTTGGGAGTGCTTTGCACAGTGCTTCCTGCTGTTCACGTTCTTCTGATAAATCAGGTTCCTGATGTGGATTCTCGTCTAGAGAAACAAACCAAAAAAGAATGGCTGTGCACAGTTCAGGCTTTTCCATGTTCACATCGGTTTTTTTTTTCCTTATCCCTCCCAATATCCCAACCCAGGAGAAGCAACAGAAATAGCAGGTGTCACTCTGACTCACGGAAAAAGAAGAAGAGTTATACCCCCTGCCCAGAGGAAAGGTGGAATCCTCACCCTCGTCCACAATAAAAGCTGCATTTTCCCTTCTTTCCACACATTGAGCCTCACATACCAGTCTGCAAGTTCATCAGTTCGTCTGCCCATTGATCTTCTACTTTATCCATTGGGAAGCTGCAGTCAGACATCGGTAATTCGGGACCTGGCCAGGAGCAAGTGGGTGGAGGGTGGGGGGGGGGGGTGGAGAGTTTGAGTCACCACAGACATCTCAGAGGTGAAGGTGCCCTTCTAGCGCACGTGCCTCCCTGCATCTACTTCCTCCTTACTTTGGATTGCTTCACCAAAAGCCTCTGACGAATTCTCTTTTTTAATCTCTAAAAACAAAAGCAATATGAAGACCACCGCCCCCTGTGCTCCATAGCAGGATTTTCCACTTGCTCTAATGTGTGGAAGAATCAACAGTCAATACTGATTAAGAGCAGAATTTACCAGAGAATATTTCCTAAGTATCGTGGGATGAACATTATTACACTGAGGGTCAAAACAAGGTCAGTACTCCTATTATATCAGTGTGTGAAGAATGAGAAAAACTCTTCTTTGATAAGAAAAAGTGACTCAGAGGTAACGATGAGAATTGGAACACTGTTGCTAGAATAAATAACTCTTCAGTAAGAAATTAAAATCGATTGCAGCTAAAGTGTAGTTGTGGGTTATGGGAAAGTAAATAACCCAAAGATCTACTAGACAGTACTTCTGTGTGCCAATCTAAAGTTAATCCGGTGAAGCTGGGACCTATCCCTTTTGGCAGAGCTATCTTGCCCATCCCTACTTCATTACAACTGGACAAGTACAATGCTCGGCAGTGAAATGTGGGCAGAGACCTGGATGCCACATTCACATATTCTTGTCCATCATCTTCTATTTCACACTTGTTAAATAACTTTCAGATCATTCGTTTCTCAATCTTCTCAACACAGAAGCTCTGTTCCTGTCCACCCCCACCCACCCCCATTCAGAGCAGCACAAGTTCTTTTCTCTAGAATCCGGGTTTTTGCACATGGTGGTCCTCCTGCCCAGAGTCCTCTCCCATCTTTACTTGTACCCGTCAAACTACTAGCCCTGCAGTCCATCCTGTGTTTATCCACATCCCCCTGTCTCCACATAAAGCTGTCGAGCTGGCCCTGCAATGCACTCCCCAGCATCCCACACCCTCCAATGCACCTCCCACTTCACACATACGACAAGCTCTCCTATGGACATAGCTGAACTGTCCACTAGCCCGAGAATCCTTATGCTTTTCGGCCTTGAGTCCTACCAAATCCCAAAATCTAGCACAGAGCCTGGTTCTTCCCAGGGGCTCATGATGTCAGATGACTTAATAATTGTTAAGATGAGAAAAGGCACGTTGTTGCTAAACCCTGGCCCTGTGCTACTATGTAACTTGGGCATACTTGGTTCAATTCTGTTTTATTAATCTTCATTTGTTATCTCAATTCTATGTTCTTGGTTAATGTGCCAGAACACATTGACCAAGTGTGTAGGACTAAGTCAATCCAGCTGCCTTTCTCCATTGGACTTCCTCCTTATTGAATTCACCTTGTCCTGTCAGGAACAGTGAAATGTCAAACTTCAGTGTGTGCAACACCCACCTGGACAGCATATTTCCCATGCACCCTGAATTACGTTGACATGGAAGGCCTGCTTACCACTCTATGAGAAACACTCTTCTAGGTTGGGATTTAATGAGATATTACCTTTATCCTCTGTAAGTGACTGGACTCTTTGCAAGAATCTGAAGAGACAACATTATGCAAGTATTCAGTTTGAATGAGGCCATTATGCCATAAAAAATGGTTCTATGACACACAACATTACACATCATGTGCTCAAAATTTGGTACACAAATGAGTCCTCATCCAAATGAAACCATCTCGCACTGGAGATTGTGTGTGTGTGTGTGTGTGTGTGTGTGTGTGTGTGTGTGTGTGTGCACGCCAGTCCTTGAACTCAGGACCTGGGCACTGTCCCTTATTTTTGATGAACACTAGTACTCTATTACTTGAGCCAGAACTCCACTTATGGCTTTTTTTTGGGTGCTTAGTTGGAGATAAGTCTCCTGACTTCAAACCACAATCCTCAGATCTCAGCTTCCTGAGTAGCTAGGATTAGATGTGAGCCTTTGGCACCCAGATTCCCACTCAAGATTTTAATTAATAATGTTATTGTGCAAAATCACCCAGAATAGAAACAATAACCAGTTCCCAATGCCATTCTATGCAAAGGACATTTTCCTGTTCTACTGTGCCCGGAGAGAATTATTCCTCCTTCCTCCACCTTGTGCTACCTCTTTCCTTTCTTTCTGACCTTCCCCCACACCCTCATATTGTTTTTCCAGGTGGTGACTTTCCACTGGCAAGTTCATAGTTTCTACCTAATGAAAATCTCCAAGAGCTGTCAGGGGAACAATGGCAGAAAGAAACCCTCGCCTTACCAGGATTCACAAAGGGCTGGCATTCAGCGCCAACACTGTAGTTCAGCTCCTGTGGCCCTGCCTGTGGCTTCCAGGCTTCTGGCACTGGGGAATCCTGGTGAGTTCCCTTTGCCTGGAGTGCAGGTGACTCTGGGTGAAAGTTTGGCGGCATGAGTTCCGTTTCCAAGGGCAGAAACTCTTGAAGGATTATGTCATCAAAATCGATCTAGAGAAAAAGCCAGAACTCATCACTCCAAAGTATACACCCAATGGAAGCAAGGACAAATTTTTGTTACTCGAAATAAGCTTTTGTTTAGCAGCAGTACCAAGACCATACATATCCATTTTTTAGTGGTCACAGGAAATCATGCATAAGAAGATATGGGTGAGATCAATTGTAATAGCATGTCATAGTTATTCCAAAATATGCAGACAAGCAGCATGTTCACATGTGATCCATACAATTACTAGAGAGCTATTCCACCTGCTTCTTTCGTTCTTCATATAGGGGACGTGAAACTCACAGCAGACTTCAAGCTGCACTGGCCACATTTCATGTGCTCAGGAGCCAGCAGCGGCTGATGGTCTGTTCTGGACAGGACATGTTCAGGCCCTCAAAGATAAAATCTCATTTACTGAACAAAACCAACAGGACAGAAAAAGGAAGAGAACCACACATGCACTCATGCTACCTTAAGGAGGCAGGATGCTGGGAAAGCCTCCTGTCCTGGCTGTCACCTTCCATGACCAACCACAACAGCTCTAGAACAGTGCTCCCCCCACCCACCTCAGCTGAAAACACCTGTTCCCTCATTGCATTTCAGCTGTGTGTTCAGCCATGGCCTATGTAAACAGAGGCTTCATGTCGTGAGCAGAGGGCACAGCCCTGCCCCCACGGGCTCTTCTGGATATGGGAATCTAAGGGTCAGAGATGGCAGCATCTCTCACAAAGTTGTGTAGTTCCAGGACCCACCAAATGAGGACTCCCCCTCAAACTTTGACATAGGAAAAAGGGACATACCATAGAGGAGTTAGAACACATTTTGCACATTTTAGTATTACATGTTTCCCAGGAATGTTCTCCTGTCCAAATCAAAGCAAGAACATTTTACTTATTGGTTCTTTATACGAAGACTTGTTTGCCATCTTGAGAAATCATATGATAAGTGGCAACTCTACTATAGCACCTGAGCCCTGATGTGAATTTTGGCTGGCCCATCATAACTCCAAGCAGACATGCAGGCACTGAACACTTCATGGAGCCACTGATAGAGGCAGACCATGTTTATGCAGAAATGCATGTAAGATTGAAATACGCTGTTTTCACAAACTTTATGTCCTTTCTGGGCTGTACTCAGGGAAGGGTGGACAAGCTGTTTGTGCAAAGGGCCAAATAGTAACTAATTTTGAACCAGAGGGTCATTTACACTGGCATCTCTTTTGCTTCTTCTAAGATTTTTTTTTTACCCAAATCTTTAGTGAGGTAAAAACTAGTACAAATTCATAAGGCACATATAGGCATTGGAGCTGGCCTGCCAAACATAAAGGGATATAGTAATGCTTTTATTTGATGTAAGAAGATGAATTACACTATGAATTTCTTCTACTAAAAGTAGAAGGCATATTATAATATGTGTGTAATATAGAGGAGACAGGGTTGGATATGGTTGAGAGCCACTGATACACATGCTCATTCCAACAGAAGAGAGACAATGGAAAACAAATGGATGGTGGGAGTTTGGGGCTGTGGAATGTCCCAGACACAACATATCTGTTCTAGACACGGCTGCCTCTGTACCTGTTTTGGTTTACAAAGAAATACCCGCAAACATATCTCACCTGGAATTCTGACTTGTCATATTTCCTCTGTATGTGTTCTATCAGGGAAAAAAGTCTTTCTTTGGTCTGTGGGCCATGAGCTCTCACCCGGGTCTCAATATCAGGAGGCAGAATATTTAGGAATTGCTCCAATACAAGCATCTCCAGGATTTGTTCGATAGAATGCATCTTTGGCTTCAGCCATTCACAGCAGAGCTCCCACAGTTTCCTGAAAGTTTCACGGGGGCCAGCTGCTGCTGTGTACTGCAACTGCCTGAAGAGCTGGCGGGAGACTTCACTGCCTCGCTCATTATCCTGTAGCACGGAAAACCCTCTGTTTGAGAAGGAGTCCATGGGGGCATAATCCATGGGCATTTCCATTGCACCTGCTGCTTATCTGGGGTCTGAGGTTTCAGATCCAAGAGTTTTCTCTCTGAAATCAATGGGGCGAGCCACCTACAGCAGAGAACAGGAAACCATGAGAGAAGAGGCACAGCAGTGGTGACAAGTAGGCATATTCAAATTCCAGAGGTTTTTGAGAGAAGGGTATTGAGCCTGGGGATTTAGGTATCTTGGCATTCAGCAAACAAACGGTCCATGCATGAGAAGTACTGTAGTTTCTGGTTGCTGTCGTATTCACGGTCCTAGAGAGGGAGCTTCTATTGTTTCTTTCCTAAGCATATAAGTTTCATACAGTGGACCTGCTGTGGGTAAACCATAAAAGTACTTCCAACTTTGTGGTAGTGGCTCATGCCTGTAATCCTAGCTACTATGGAGGTTAAGATCTGAGGATCACAGTTCAAAGCCAGCCTAAACATAAAAGCCTGTGAGACTTACCTCCAATTAACCACCCAAAAGTCATAAGTATAGCTATAGTTTAAGTAGTAGAATGCTGGCCTGGAGGGAAAAATGCT